AAAACAGGCTAGACTAATCGATTTTTGGGATTTAAGAATCGATATCGTTTCGTAAAACTGAGAATCGATTATAATCGAGATATCGATATTTTTTACCCAGCCCTACTTTTTACAGACCGTTTCATTATTGGTTAGTAGCCAAATGCATATGAAGGAACGAAAACAACAAACTCTTTATATCTCTCGGAAAATACAGTGCTGAGTTCAAACAGACGACAGAAATTAATGAACATACCTGAAACAGTTTGAGCTGTGTGTGTGTGTCATTGAAACGCAAATTTAGCTGCAGCCAAGTGACTTTGTGCGACCCACCTTGTCCCACTCCGCGACCCACAGTTTGAAAACCCCTGCTTTAAGACCACCCTTTCCTGTTAGCGAACATCACAACACTGCCCTTTCGGCTGGGAGTGACATTTATATGAATATGTAAATATGTGCTGCATGCTTTCCTCTTAGTAGTGAGATAAACACACAGCACAAATGACAGCACTGAGAAAACAGTAGTCAAGAAAGCATAGCGATATGGATGTTTGCACCAGCTCTGCAATTTGGCACTACAGTCAAGTCACGTCAAGCTTATTTATATAACACTCTATACAATAGATTGATTTAAAGTTTAAACCAAATAGCTTCACAGTATTATGAAAAACAGTGTCAGTGTTTCTTTCAATTAGACTTACACTTCAATTTCTCATACTTATATTTGGCTTTATTAAACTTGAAAATATAATTAATTTATATGCAATTTTGTATTACAAGTCAATTCATTGAACCATTTTCACAATCTTTATCTCAGAGGTGGAACTTTCAAATCACAAGCAAGTCTCAAGTCAAATCCCAAGTCCTCAAAGAGTTAAAGTTAATGAGATAATTAAGTGACTAATTAAATGATGATTGTGCATTAGTGATGAACACCTGCTGTTATTGAGAATTACAGAGGATCAGATGTTGATGTTTTATTGGTTAAAATTATGCCACCATCACAGAGATCAGTGTTTGCTTTAGTTGGGCTCCTGACCCTTGACTTCCTGTGTTAGATCTCTCTCTCTGTAGCAATGCATGTGATGTTGTAAAGTAGTGAGATCAGTGCTCTACAATGAGGAGATATTAGCTGTTTTTATATGATAAGACAGTCATCATGAGCTGGCTTGATTATAATCAAAATAACTTTTTTATTTATTTATATGTTTAGGTTTTGCATAATCAACACTGTGAAACTACAGCATGCAAACAAAGTGTTGCTCTAACAGTTATAGTGAATTAATTTTAAATTCATATAATGCATATAAACATTTGAACACTAGTACTAGTTCGACACAGACAGACATCAAGAATCAGCATATGAATCTCAACAATGGTGACAATCAACACAATTCTTCATGTTGCAATGCATGCTGGGTAACACCATAGTAAAAACTCCCATCATGCACTGCAGTATGACAAATTATTGGCACCACTGTTGAGGATCGTCTGATAAGTGTTCATGTCTAAAAGCCTGAGCCGATACCATTTTTTTTTATATTGAAGCATTAGAGCGGCATTTGTTTAATATGAATTTTTTTTTTTTTTCAGTTCAGTAATAACTGTTTTATCTTCCTGAGGTAAATGTCACTTAACTGACACATTCTTCACAGGCTGTTATACTGATGATTTCCCTGGTTAAAACCGCTTATAGGCACAGAAATGATGCGTGATTGTAAGTTGTACTTTATTTTTCAACATATCCTCTGATGTACATTCATGTTATACATGTTATGTATTAAAGTGAAGAAATGTTCATTTAACTCGTGCTCCGTGTTGCCTGAGGCAGATAACGCGATCTATCCCAGACTACATTAGACTCTGGAAACTTTTATTATTTTTTTTTTTCTTCCAAATTTGTTCATAAAAATTCCTTCAATTCAAGGACATAGAATTGAGTAGTATTTGATGTAGGCTAATCACTGTCATTGTCATCACCACGGACATTACCTGAGAAGTTAGTGTAAATACGTCAGCAAACTGCGCTCTTTCAAGGATGTGCATTTAATGCATGGCCAAAGTGAACATCATCTAAGCGTTTAAAACATGCAAAGTAGGATTGCCAACTGTTCTCGTATTTAAGTAA